GGACGACATGACGTCATGATGTACCAGGAAGAATCAAATGGACAGTGACGTATCTTCAACGAGGCGTTTTGGGGAGGTATTTTCTGTTTTAGAGTTTTACTCGCTACAGGGTGTACTTTGAGGGGTTTGACTCTGCACACCGTTTACATGCATAAAAACCTTCATAACACACAAGGGGACGGGTAACAACCGGAAAAGCATGACATGTCACCTTTAACGTCCCGATAGCAATGAATAAATTAAATGCTTTGACAATAAATACATCCATTTCATCTGTAGAAGCCGTGGCGCTGTAAAAGCACGACCAATCATCTGAGCCGGCCCGGCTAAAATAACTGGATGGCCTACCTGCCTGTCAGCCTTCCGTCTGTGCACACACTTATCTCGTGCAATCATTGGTCATGTGCACGTTTGTGTGTGTTGGAGGAGGGGCTCTGGAAGGAAGTCTGAAGGAAGGGGCAGATTTTTTTCCGCTGCGTACTTTCAAATTCTAGCGCACTCGAGCTGGTTTCTCCATTCTTACCTACCCTACCTTTAACTGTAATGGAATGTTAACAGGAGACAGTTATACAATTTGTCTTTGTTTTCTCTTAAACATTTATTTGAAAAACATAAAGGTTGATCTTCTGACTGCTTGCGTTTTTTCAAATGTTTACCCATATTTGCATCATCCTTCATTCAAGATTAAAACATATTTTATAAAATATGTATTGGTTCCTGTTTTCCGAATCAAAACTGTGAGTCATAGGTCTCTTTTCTGATCAAAGCATTTGTAACAAAAAACAAAATAAGTATCTATTAGTTCTAACTGCCTATTTCATGACATCCGATAAATATACCACAGAAAATGTAATGATTAGGTAATCTGGAAGGAACGGACTTCTCAACTCCTTTGCAATTGTGTAAACGGATGCATCTATATGACTAAACAGGAACTGAAACAACACGTTCAGGGTTTCCCACACATATACTTTACTTGGGCGGGCTATATACAGCGCCACCCATTTATTTTTTATTATTCATCTGTGATCTAATCAACTAGTGGACAATGATCCCTCGCTCTACGCCTCATGTACCCAGTCCCGGACTGGCCATTGGGAGGGCCGGGGGGTTTCCCGATGGCCTGGCCTGTTAGGTGGCCTGCTGGCCTGAGGATTTTTTGTATGTATTGTGAACGCAACGCTGCGCAAATGTGGGTCTGCCTCACACAGGGTGACTGGCTGTCCACATGATGTGGCCTGCCGACATGGCCACTGTCATACAGATCATAAATCAAAGCCCTTGATTGGTCTCTGTGTGTCATTCAAGCTCGGGATAACCTCAGCTCAGGTGAGGTAAAGGACTCTCTGAGTGTTTAGATAGTTAACTTAGTCTAAGTTCTCAGTGGGTCTCAAACGGTTTGGTCACCATTTATGTAAACACATTTCCATTTGAGGGGGAAGTGATTAGTACTTTAGTACTTTTAAAAGTACTTCCCCTTTGTTGAGAGCTAAAACTAGTCTTTGCTGCTGCCTCAAAGAGGAGCAGGGAGGAGAGAATGGAGACAGGAGAGGCTGGTTCAGGAGCACAGACACACTCACAACTATAAATGAACCAAAAATAAATAAATAAACAAGTGTCAGTGTTTTTTCATATTGGAAATGGGATGTTATTGGTTATGGCCATGATTTTATGATTATTGAAATGTATGCAGTTCTGTTTCATATAGGTGTTCCCATAGATCTAGTCTCTTTATTTCCCCCTCAAAGTGCACCAGATTGATGCATTTAACTCCAACATTTAAAAAAAAATCTTACTGGGGAGCATGAGAGAAGCCGATGTAGGACTCCATATTGAAACGTTCCTGGCAGCAGGGGATGAAGACAAAGGGGGGACGGAAAAAAGGGCAGACAGAGATAGAGGGGGGGTGGGCAGTACTAAAGGAAAAATAAGAAGTGAGACAGCGCGACTTGAACGCTAACCACAACCAGATGGGCTAGTGAGGGGGAGCAACAGTGGAAAGAAAGCAGGCGGAGAGAGGGAGAGGAAAACTTTCACAGAGGACGGAGGAAGAGGTTGGGGGAGGAGAAGAAGGGAGGGCTAGTGAGGAATTTTTTCCTATACCGACGAGGCTCTTTCTCCCCTCCTCGCGAATGAGAGGCAGGCTTTATGTAATGGGTAGGATGCAATCATTGAGGCTGTTTGAGAGAAAGTCCCTAAGTAGTTCCTCTCTGACTGGGGAACCCTTTTTTCAGTGAAAGACCACAGCTATGCCACCACAGAGGACGGAGAAAACAATGTTCAAACACACCCTCATTTTCTTTCTGTAGCTCTACTTTAGATTGAGACAGAAGACTCAACCATTTCTGATTTCCTCCGTAAATCTTCTTTTGGTCTCTCATTTCGTCACAAGGCAGATGACTCAGGTTGTTGGCCGATTGGGGGAAGTGATGGGTACATGTGGACGCTGCTTTGTAGAGTTCAAGAGGCGACAGCGGATAACTATATAATGGAAAGCGAGCTTTTAACAGTCATATGATGAGCGGTGTGTCCTCTGTTAGTCCTGGTCACAAGCCGCTGGTGATTTTGGCCAGTAAACTTCACCCTAACGTATTTCACACCTCTTTAATATTCTCACGTCCAGGTTACTGAGGGTCCACTTTGTACATCCTGTACTGTACTGTATACATTTATAAACAATGCTCTGATTGGCTTGACACTGTTCAATCGTGCTGGAATAATAAGTCCATTCATGGAAGAGTGGAATAACAGAGCTTCGTTTTCCTTTTATATCACAGAATACTTTTTTTGTTGATTGCACAAACTGAGGAATTTGATGAAATGACCTTAAACTCTGGGAAATTCCAACAGGCCCTTTCACTATTTGTGTGAATGTTGTTATATTGTTATGTTATTTTGACAAAAATTCCACTATTTCCTAGTTCACACTTTTGTAGCTCTTAGTGTGCAAAATAAACAACACATTCAAGTGAACTTTTAGATAAAACATGTTTTAACTTAAAGACCATGTGTTCATCACATTGAACTGAGTGGTGTAAAACAACTGTATATATCTTCTGAGCAATGAGTGTATGTGTTTGTTATAATCAATTCAGATGACTGATTTGATTAACTCAGCCATTTCTAGACATGATTTCATCACGATTCGATATGATGATTCATTATCACAATGGATTACCGCCCAGCCCGCTATGAATTCATTATAACTCCTACATGATGTTTCATAAAAGCGCTTATGAACATAAGCTTAAATATCTTTAACTTGTGAATAATACATATCAACTTCATCTTTATCAGAGGGCCTTAAAGAAGCATCTGTTATTGCCCCCATTAATAGTTAAGGTGGACCTTTTATAGGTAACAATCATTCCACTGTCAGTCATTGCGGCACATCAATGAAACCTTAAAAGGCAACGATTGCTGCTTTCATGATCTGGCTATGTTGTTTTAATAAAACAGTGTAACTGTGTCTCTTTAAGCAAATCCTCAATGGAGATCTCTCACAGCTGTTGAACTCTATTTGTTTGGCTTTGACATGTGTTTTCTAAGATTGGGCCGATCATATAACCTGCCAGGGATTCATTACATGTCAACTTTTATTTTTAAATGTCTGCCAAAGTCACATCCTTTTGGTCTGACTACCTAATATGATAGTGTGATGTGTTGCTATGTTGAGAACAGCCCTAAATCATATAAGTAGATAGTAAAGAAATGGAGATTATACTGGCACAAGCTTAACAAAGTGAGAATTTAAAATTAAAACGTAAAAAAGATTATTGCCATTTGAACAATTCTACTGAGTAACATTCAACTGTGTGTGGTAAGTGGGAAAAGGGTGTCGTCGTGTGGAAATAATGTAGATCAGCAGAAATGCCAGAAACACCGCAATTTTCCAAGTGTGATTCAGTCGTAAACGAGGTTAAGACAGGGTATCTGCAGGAATCCTGAAGTCAAATGTAATACCCTTTAAGACCTTTTTTAAGACCCTTTCCATACACTTTAAGACCTCATCGCCACTTCCAGTTTTAACCGGTTACATTGGTGACAAACTTTACCTCATATTGACTACACACAGTATTGATTGTCCTTCCTCCTTATCTTCCAACCATTTGGACGCAGACTTGCATTTCCCCATAACGATGTTGCTTAGCAACCGGCGTAAACGGACCTTTGCGCTATCAAGCAGTGAGCGTGCGATGTCCTGTTCAGATGACGTCAAACCCAACGGGATGCCATCAATAAACTACACAGAATCACTACACACCTACGCCATGATTACATTCAGGCAGACTGTAGAATACAACCTCTTTGGACCATTTAGATACTTATTGAAAACAAGCTACAAAATGTAATACCTTGGAAAATACCATTTAATACTTTTTAATAGCCTTCATTTTCGCTAAATTGATTTATCAACTTTGAATACTTTTTAAGACCCCGCGGAAGAGGATTTTTTGATTTGTTTTTGCCACAGGCCTCGCCATTACTGGACTGTGTCCACAGGTTTAAGTTTTCCATCAGACAGCGTGAAGGCGCAGACAGAGGCAGAGAGGAGTTGTGGTAAAGATGAGATACTGTCACGATTTGTATGCTATGTCACGGTTTTAGTTTTGTATAGGTTTGGGGTTATTTTGCTGTTCTTTCCTCCCTGTTGTTAGTTTCCCTGGTGTGTCTAGTTGTCTAATTGTGTTCACCTGTTGCCCTTTGTGTTTCTGCCTCCCCTGCCCGGCTGTTTCTCGTCTCTTGATTACCCCTCCCTGTTTTAGTCTTGTCTCTTCCTGTGTTCCCCTGTCGGGTCATTGTTTGTCTTTCATGTCTCCCTTCATGTGGGTCACAGTCACCTTTTGTTTGGATGCTACCTCGTGCTACAGTACCTGTTCACGGATTCATGTTTTTCAGCTTTTGTAAATAAAGCTCGCCTTTTGTTTCATTTTGAAACCCGCTTCCCTCCTCAATCTGCATTTGGGTCCTATTTTTCCCCAACCCTGACAGATACGTACTGATGTAAAAGGTGTTGGGGGCCTGATTTCCATCAATCTCCAGTTCCATCAGGTTGCTGGTCTTGGGGTCGTGTCTCAACCACAGGGCCACGCCCAGAATGACACCTCCGGCAAGCTGCAACACACAACACAACACATGAAGTTCCTCTTGTTCACGACATTGCACTTGTATGAGGCATGATGAAAATGTCCTCTCATGATTATCCTGTAATTGCAATTTAACATATTATCCTGAAACATACTGGAATCACTTTGCATGACATTTTGTCAAGAAATAAATAGTTGTAATGCATTGTATATAGAGGACAAGCAACTTGTATTACACATAGTAGTACACATCTTCTCTAGTGAAAAAAATAAATAAAAATGTACGAGGTTATCATAAATCATTAAGTCAGTCCTGATAGAGAAATAAAAAATAGCAACAATTTCTGAGTCATGTTCTTTTTCTAACAATGGAAATCCATCAAGGGACAACAAATGATATATCATATATATTTATTAGTCATACGAAGTGAACTGAAACAAAAGTCCTGTTCCAGTCCTAGTTTGTCCCATTTTCTTCCTTACAGTTTACAGAAAGCACGTCTGTCTGCTTGTTATTACGAAGACAGCATTAGCTTAAGTGTCAAAACTTGCTGTGTGTTAGTGTTTGATACAAATATGAACAATACTACACTCACGTGTGTATACTCTACATGAGCTAAACTAATTAGCTAGCTGCTGGATGTAGCCTTAATCCGACAGACAAGAGGGTGGTATCAATCTTACTGTTAATTGTACTCTCTGAATCATTGTGGGTATTTTTATTTCACAAATGGCATCTTTCCATTAACACTATAAAACCATAGGGGCCTATAGTGGGAAATTAGCAGTGGTGCTATTTCACACATTTAATGAGCAAGGCTGTTGTTTTGCTGATTATTGAAGATTAGAAGCATTCAAGATGTAGGTGACCTAATTATAACTAGAAAATATGTTATTCAGTTGCCATAAACTCTTATGGATAGGTATTTTGGTAGTTCATGGTAGTTGTGCAAGATGACTAAGGCACATGGGCAGGGGAAATTGAGCAATGTGGGCATTTCTAATTCAAATGTTGAAAAACGTAGTAGTATGTGCTTCGCCTCTTTTGGCATAAGGATTGGGTAAACAGCTCGCCTGGATCCACCCAAACCTCTAAAGCTAACTAGAAACAATCTTTACTTAGGGTGTCAGTTTGGTTCATTTGGCTTCCAACAGCCCCAACAGTTGAAGAGGAGCTTTCAGTTAACCTGTTAAGCCCTGAGCCTGTTTTCCAGGTCTCAGGCTGGAAAAAGACATTCCCAGAACAAATGACTATAACTTCACTTCTAAAAGGGGTTAATGAATCGCCTTTTTCCTCAAAGCAATGATAAACCTGTGAGTTGGATGCAGGGTGATAAGGAAACATTATGTCTTTCATCTAACTCTCAGCAAGAAGGTGATTAAGGGTTTTCCCAAATGTTCAAACTATTCCTTATTGGGGTGTTTTTTGGGAGGCTAACAGATATACATTTAAGGCAACCAGGCAAACACTGGAGCATCGAACATCTGTGAAACCTTTTGTTCAATTGGTTTTCATGCTTCCTCTTCCAACCAATTTCCTTGGGGAAGCTGTGCACATACTGTGTAACTTTGTTACTGAAATGTATTGTTTTTTCAGGGTGGTTTACTTTACATTGACATAAGCCTTCCTGAGCCCTTTTGTTTGGCCCTGGACAAAGAAATCCTAAATATAACTGGAGTTAGCATATACCTCAGCCGGCACACAGGAACAAGCACCACAGCGGCAGTAAAATAAACCCCCACCACCGACACCCCTCTGCTGCACATGGGTGGGGATATTTAATAAAGGTCACGCTTAAGGACATATAGAAAATGTGGAGAAACAGAATATCTAAATTAAACTCGCCAACACTAGTTCCTGTGAAAAGAGTTGAACCAAAACAGGCCCATCCGCCCCCCCCCATCCATACTCCTCCTCTTCTTTTAGTGAGGTCCATTCCAGGGCTGAGGCCAGCTGCTGCCCAGCAACCAGATCAACACCATAACTGGAGGAGTGCAGATTCAACTCACACACACACACACACACACACACACACACACACACACACACACACAACACACACACACACACACACACACACACACACACACACACACACCACACACACACACACACACACACACACACACACACACACACACACACACACCACACACACACACACACACACACACACACACACACACACACACACACACACACACACACACACACACCACACACGCACACGCACACACACTCACATGACTCACATGACTCACTTACTTCAAGTGAACTCCCCACCTCCTAACCCCTGAATTACCACTGACTCGTCAATGACATGCATGAAGGTTTAACCAGATTTAAGCAGATTTACGCAAGGCTTTCATTTACCGCGTTTATATATAAATGATGAATAGAGGGAGAGCCCAGACAGAACATAGTTGAAATCCATGACGTGTTATGCTTCACCTGATGGAGTCTCACATTGCCACAGCTATCTCCACTTGGTTTTAGTGCCGTGTCAGCATAGGGGGAGAGGTCTTGCTGAACTTCAGGGAAAAAAACTAATCACAAACGTCTTGGGAAAGATTCCATCTGAGATAGGAAACCAATAACAGCCTGTTTTTACGATACTTGAATTTCTAACTTTAATAAAATACCTTGAAAAATGTGGATTTCTTTATACAAACAGGAGAAAACGACACAAAATTGAGGGTATTAAGTTTTACATTTTTGGAAAAAGATAAATATGAAAAGGGCAGTGTTTTCCACAGGGTTGTGAAGATTACTTTAAGGTTAAATTGGTCAATATGTTGCTCTCTGAAAGCAAAAGTAAAAGGCTTGATCTATGAAGAACGTTGTACTCCTGTTAACAGTTTATCATGAACTCTTTGGTGGTATAGATATGAATGGTGATTACGGGCAGATAAGGGACACCTGCGAATTATGTTAAACGAGACGGGGATCAATAATGAAAACAATTCATACGTTTTGACAACTCTAAAATGCACGGTCTACATAGTGTGCGTCAGATATGTGACCGAGGAGCAGCACGGCAAACTGCTGGTCCTGGTCCCATGTTTGCTACAACCTTTTACGGGCCGTCCACACTACAGCTTCGACAGCTTCAAAAACGGTTTCCAACGCGTCTGCCCATTCACTTTGAATGGGGTGACGTCACGTTGCCTCGCTTTTCGCCGAACTGAATTGTGGGTAGCATAGCGGTCCGTCTCCGGCGTCTCCGGTGTCAGAAGTTGAACAATGTTCAACTTCTGACACCGGAGACGCCGGAGTAGCCAGCGCCAGCCAATCAAATCCCGTTTCTGAAAATCTGACAGCTCAAGCCCTAGCCAATCAAACCGCGTCTAAGCTGGGAGAGATATCCCGCCGTTCATTTCTATATTTCAAAAAAAGATGGAGGAGAAACTAATTATCGCCGTAGCAAATCACCCGGTTTTGTATGACCAGACCCTCTTCACCTTCCCGGATACAAACCGGAGGAACCAGTCATGGAGGGAGGTGGCAGAGACAGTGGGTGAAACTGGTAGGTTTTCGCCTGTTTGGAGAGTTTATATATATATATATTGCTCGCATAAAATCCCCAGGTTTTTTTGCTTTGTATGTCGGGGGCGGGAGATTCATGTGATTGGTTGTTGGTCGCGTTGCTCGAATAAAATCCCCAAGCTTCAGACACGCCCAGCTCCAAGCTTTTTTTGAAGCTGTAGTGTGGACGCTCCGTAAAGGACTCCCAAACACATCGACAAGCTGGCGGTTGCTAAGAGAAAGTTCAAAAAATACACTGATCACAAATCCATGAGACAGCCTTTGAGCTATAAATATGTTATGTGGGAAGTTTGAGTCACAGGGACCAGCAGTGTGAACTCTTTCAGGATTATTTTAGAGAATCAAAGTAACTTGAATGAAAATCTTAAATTAGTAGTTAAAACGTTAACAGTAATTCCTTTCAAAAGACATATTTCAACAGCCAAAATGTTGCTATTGACTGGTTAGGTAGAACTAAAACAATAAGTTAATTAAACCTTTTTGATACAAATACTCTTCGTTCTTACACAGGGGTAGACATTAAGGGTAAAATGCCACTGGCCCTCCGGGCCGGTGGAATTGTATTATCACTGGCCCCACCATTGTACCCACTGGCCCGGAGCATTTGTCCAAAAAAATAAATCAACTAATAATGAAGAAAATTAACACATTTGTTGCAATAGTAATTGATGCACTAACTACATTACTACTTGTACTACAACATTTGAACAATCAGTTCTTCCTCATTTTCCTCAATTGTTAATATTTGGTTTATTATAATAATGATATTGTGGTCATTGTTAAAACATTTCTGCATTATGAGTATTATTATTTGTATAATGCGCTTTCTGCCTTCCTGTCATCAGGAGTTAGAAATGTAATGGCTATGTAATAGATTAGATTAGAACCTTCATTATCCTAAACTGCTGGGACATTTCCCTATAGCCAATACCTTTATATTTTCTAATCTTCACTTACTTGTCAGCATAGGTCGGCATTGATGCACAGAGCCGACAGAAGACCCTGTTTATATTGGCATAATATTGAGAGGTGCAGTGACGCGTCCTAAAACCAGGAAGTAAGCTGCTGTTTCCCTCGACAAAAAGCAATGGGATTTCTCCACAGGGTTTTGGAAAATAGCTGGAAATAAGGTCTGTGGAAAACTAACCTGTTTGATAAATGCACGTTTTGTTCAGCCGGATAATCTCCACATGTCTACCCTACTTTTATAATTTTCGAATCATAAATCTAATCGATAGATTATAAAAGGGTTTTAGGATGCGTCACTGCACCACTCTATAGAAGCCAACTCCATCGATCAAGCTGGCTGAAACTTTCTCTCCCTCTTCTTCTCATGCTCCCTGTCACTCTCCTTTAACTTCTCCGGTGACTTTCTTTTATTTGAAGATTGTTTTTTGCCCGGCGCTTGGCCGGTTACCGCTGGTATTAAAAACATTTGGCGAATGGTTAGGTGGCACGATAGTCTGTAGTGAAGGAGCGCG